ATATATATATATGATTTACAAATATATGTAGTTACTTAGATCATTTAATGATACCTAATCTATCTCTATTGTGTTCACAGAACAAACTAATATTTCATCTTTGAAACATTTCTTAATAAAACAAGAATGCCATAGTTTTTAAACTGTAAAGTGGCTGGGCGTGGTGGTGCATGCCTGTAATCCCAGCACTTGGGACAGAGAAAGGTAGATCTCTGTGAGTTCAAGGCCAGCCTGGTTTACAAAGTGAATCCAGGACAGGCTAGACAGAGAAACCCTGTCTCAAAAAGCCAAACCAAACCAAACCAAACCAAAAAGAGGGTATCAGAGATATGCAATGGAAGCTGGAGAAGGAAAGGTGACTTTGCTGGGAAAATGTACACAGACTCAGGTCTAAATCCTCTCCCCCTGAGCCAGTCTGCAGCTCACTATAGCCAGAGGGTGCCTGGGCATGTCTGACCTCCCATGCCACCTTCCAAGCTGGTTACAGGCACGTATCACCCATTCCCTCAGTTGCTGTTAAGGCTTATTCGTTTTTATTTCATGCATATGGTGTTTTGCTTTTGTGTATGTTTGTGCACCGTGTGTATGCAGCACTCATGAAGGCCAGGAGAGGGGCCTTGCGAGTCACCATGGAACTTGAATCTACGTCCTCTGGAAGAGCAGCAAGCACTCTTAAACAAGGAGCCATCTTTCCAGCTGTATCTCCACCACAGACACACACTCACACACACACACTCACACACTCACACACTCATACTCACACACGCTTCTAAACACTTTGACATTTTGAACTCTGGAGCTGACCACCTCATGTTTCAGATTCTGAGGTGGAACCATATGGCTTAGCAATGAGAAGGGCCAGATTTCATAACTGGAACGTAATCCCTTACTTTTAGGGTATTTAACCATCCTGTGGGAGCGTCCTCTGCCCTCACAGCTGAGAGTACCATGAGAGGGACACACTGAGCAATCTGCTTTCCCAGTCACAGAATCTCCTTTCTTGGAAGTTTAAAGTTCCCAGTGACATCACTGGAGAAAGGCTTAGCTGGTCTCTATGGAGCTGTGGCAAGAGTGGCTGTTGAAAAGGTCATAGTGGAGAGGCAGGAACCCCTGGGGATCTGTGTCATATAAAAACAGCCACTGGCCAGTGCCCTCTGAGGGAACGATGCAAACAAATTTGAGCCCAGACCACAGTGCTTCAGCCATGCTCAGACCTACAGGCGTCTTTGGGAATTGACAGTGGTCAGCCCAGAGCTCCATGCAAGAGATAGCAGTTTCTTGCCCCTTCCTATGTCCGTGGAAGTTTATCACGCAGATGAGCTAGGCCAGGCTGCCCTTGCTGTCCTCTGAGCTCTGGCACAGTGGTCATCTTGCCTTTACCCGGCACTTCCAGAAAAAGGAGAGCTGAGCCCACCGCCTGGTTTCGGTAGTTCTGGTCGTTGGATTCCCGGTTGGAAGGGTTGGCTGGAATGTTTTCTCAGCCCCGCTCTGCTGCACTCATGTCCACGTCTACCTAAATGCAGCAGCCCTGGCAGCCTTGCTGTTTGCCAAGGGCTTGGTGTTCTCATAGATGTCCTGGGAGAAAGAGGGTGGGGGGCTGCCCTGGAATAAGGAAGAGCCATTGATTGCTAAATTTCAAAAGACCAAGTAAAATGTTTCTATTGAGACCTCCGGTTCCAGACACAAGAAATTAAGGTTGATTCTGCCTGGGAAAGAGCAACCCGAAGCCAGGCTAAGGAAGGGTCCCCTGCGGTTCTCTTGACGTGTTGGGAGTCCGTGTCCTTTGGCAGAGGCTGTGTAAAGGGTACAGAAAGCAAGCTGGTCCACGTGTGACACATTTCAGCCACGTGTTTACAGTGAAACCTACCCGAAGGACTCCACCTCGTGTGAGGGGCCCCTCCCTGACTGTTGCAACTCCTGCCTTCCTTTCCCCTCTGAGAAGGCAGTGAGGACAAAGCTCCCTCTAGGAGGCCCCTCTTCGGGAGGCAGCCTGATGACACAGACAATGAGATTGGGGCGCTAGAGTGCTAGCCCAGCAGCCTGCAGAATGGGGTTCAAGCCTCAGCACGCTAGAACCTGAGAGAGTGAGGAGTGTGGGGCTCAGAGATGGTAGGAGAGCATCAGGTGCCTAGGCTGCAGCTGGCTGGGAAGTTGAAGGCTACAGCGTCAGTTCTCAACACTGAACAGAGACAAGGCATTTGATCTGTCATTCTCAAGTACAGAAAGTAGCACGCCTGGGGCAGCTGTGGACTGGAGCAGGGTGAAGCCACTTATCCTGGCTGAATCTTACAGAGTTGAGTGACAAACACTTCCAACCGCAGCTGTGCCTTCCTGAAGACTTTGTACCTTGCCTGTCGCCCTAGTCACTTGTCGGGAGCTTTCCTGCCACCAGCTTTCCACTTTCCTCTCTTGTACGGAGGACTGATGTTTGAGGTTTGCAAGCTTAGAAGACATTAGAGTTAAAGATGGGAGCTAGAAAGAGATACAGGTGATGATGAGGCAGGCTTGAGAGAAAAAGAAAAGCTGGTGACCTCAAGGCCTAGGAGGCCTCCTGCACATTCGGATAGCACGTTCATAAGCCAAGCCAAATGCTACGTTGATATGCTCCAAATGTAATGGGTCCCACAAGCTGGGTAAAGGCAGACTGAAATATTTCCAGCATCTTCTCAGAAGGCACCCAGAGCCGTAACTACAACAACCTCACCCAACCTCACTGAAACAGGATTGCCAGGGGTGCCCCACCTTCTGCTTTGGGGATTAAGCCTCACACACGAGCATATACTCCTGACACTAGAACTGCCTCCTTGTGCACGAGGTGCTGGGGCCCCAACATAATTGCTGGGCATTTAAAGTGGCCAAAGTGGTTATATAACCCTGATTCAATTAATTAACAGGTCTTTCCTGACTCAAGCCTTCCCCGGGAATGAGCCAAATGGTTCGCTGGATAATAATTAGAACAAGACAAACCAGCATCACCAGTTTCCAGGGTTGGGGATGGAAGGAATTTCTGAGTCATCAGATAGGACTGACACTCAAAAGGCCCAGCCTTCAAGGCCACGCTCACTTGCCTCCGAGGCTCATGTGTGGGTCTGTGGCTATTCATCAGTGCCCCCCAGGGCTCTGAGCATCGGTCCTTATCTCCAACTACACAGGTGGAGTTGAGTTCATGACCGATAATGCTACAAGCCTACAACTCTGGCTCAGCACAAAGGGCCGTAGGCTTATCTGCTCCAAACCCCTATCCAGCATGGGAGACTCTGATCGTTCTCCAACCTCTTAGCCACTGTGGTGACAGAAACTACCAGTCGCTAGTACCAGATGACTCCAGTTGTGATGGCTCCTCCCTGTCCCGACCCCAAGTCCAGTTTCCTGTAACTTTCACTCAAAGACCCTTTATCCTAAACTTTCCTGTGCCCCATTTCTTTACTTCTTCATCTCTTCCTGCTCCCTGAAAAATAACTCCGGGACCCTAATATCCTACCAACTTCCTGTCAGAAGTTCAAGAGGTACATGAGTCCCAGTTACTGCTTCTGCACCAACTTCTGAACATCATCATAGCCACAGACCCTGCAAGGGTCAGAGGAGGTAGAGTGCCTATGCCTTGTGCCTTACGGCAGACAAACACTTTGATGCTGGGGGAAAAAAAATGAAAAGAAAAATGAAATCAACATTTGAATAAAAGATTTTGCCCTTACAATGACATATACAAATGGGAGGGTATAATTTTTCTGAGTCTTGTAACAAATTGAAGTACCATGCATAATTAGTTCATAATGGCACCGTGCAAACTTTTATAATGTTAGAAATGGATCCTGGCGAGGGTTGGTTTGGGGAGGGGAGGCTGGATTCCTAATGTCTTGAGTAGATAGATGCTCATCATCCAGTGATAAGAACAGCTCAGAGTGCTCAGTGCTAGGGCCCGGGTGCTCCACTTCGAGCAGCTGGATACTGATCAGTCTTGGTAACTGGACTGTGGAGTGCTGGGAGGCAAGAGGCATGTCCCCTCCAACCGGGCCTGCTCCTCCTCGTGTGACTTTGGGAGAGATGAACTCTCTGCCCATCAGATCCGTGGTGTGGAAAGTACCTCATACTGGAGGTTGCTACTGGTAAAGTCTGCACAGTGTGGGCTTCTAGCCAGAGTATACTGTAAACTCACTCAGCCTTCACTCGGGCTGGCTTACACATCATAGTTGACTGACACTGATTCTGACTTCCCTGGAACTAAGATTCTCAAAAGCACATACCCCCTGAGCAGCAACTCCGATCCACAGACCAGGAGGCATCGTACTAAGAAGGGTGCCTGGCTTAAAAAAAAAAAAAATGGCCAAAGAGACATTAAAAATAAAGAATTCCCAAGAGGACAAGATGGCTCAGCATGGCTCAGCAAGAAAAAAAATTAAAAAAACAACAAAAAAAACCTTACTGCCAAGCCTAACAGCTTGGGTTCTCTCCCCAAGCCCGACATGGCAGAAGGAGAGAAGCAGCTTCCCCCAAGTCATCGCCTGATCTGCAAATGCACAGGAAGAGGTACATGCCACCCTCCAGTACAGCCAAAGTAAAAACTATGACAATGTAATAAAACCTTCAAAATAATGACATCTCCTACTGTACTTTTCTTTTTTTCTTGTGTGTGTGTGGGGGAGGTGCTGGCAAGGGTTTCTCTGTGTAGACCAGGCAGTCCTGGAACTCAGAGACCCACCTGCCTCTGCCTCAGAAGCGCTGGGATTAACGGCGTGAGTCACCACCTCGCAGCTTACTATACTAACTTCCAGCAGCTGAATGCACGAGTGAGCCTTGTGTGCAGCTTGGGAAACACTGAGGAGGCAATGACTGAGGTCTCTGAGCTCAGCCCAGACAGGCTCCCGGTGTAGGTGTGCTGGGCGCAGAGCCTAGGGCCTCGTGCACACCAGGCAAGCATTACCAAGTGAGCCTCTCTGTTCCCCATCTCTGTTGTGTATGTCATCACATCAAGGGGCTGAGGAAAAGCAAGAGAAAAAAACTTGGAGCAATGTGACATAAGCTCCCCTTTAATCCTTGAGGGGTAAGCTGGCAAGGTCTGGTGAATGCAGGCCTCTTGACCTTGAGCATAGGAACTCATATCGCAGATCCTGGTGACACCTAGGATCACAAGGGCCTCCACACCAAAGCTGTATTTAATCATATTGGCCATTTTGCAAAAGGCACCTTTCACAGAACAGATGCTTAGTGAAGTTAATCTCCCCCAAAGCCCCAGAGAGGAGGGGTGAATGCAGCCTCCACCCCAGGTGGGCTATGCCCACAGGGAAGATGGCGCTTCCCAGAGCAAGCCAGTCTGAGAGGAAGGCACTGCTACCCTTAGCGTCTTGGGCAGCACAGCTGCTGTCCTCAAGCTTTGATTTCTTGGCACACATCATTGTCAACCCGGAATAACTTTGGCTTCAGCCTCCATTTGTAAATTACTTAGAAACACAAGTCTTGGCATCAAGTTCTATGTCAGAGCCATGAAGCAGCAGGTGTGACGGAGTGGAGTGTCTGGAAGGACCTGTGGCAGGTGACACCTTCGGCTAGCACCTCCTTCTGTCTCCTGCACAGAGACAAGCCATGGTGGTCCTGACACCTCCAAGCTTCAGTTCTGCCCTTGCAGGTGTCTGAAAGAGAACTCAGCTTCAAACTACCCAACTCAGGGTTGGCTTAGTCTATTAGTCAAAGGAAGACCCGTCAGAAAGCCTTTCTTCTCCGCAAGGAGGGTCACCACAGGAGTCGCTGTGGGAGGACAGGATCTCCAGATGGCCTTTCCTCTGCCTTGAGTGAGCCTGGTATGTGGCACAGTGGGGGAGGGGTTTGCCCCTGGTGTGACAGTCGCCCTGCCCTCTAGAAACGATAGGGCTGGAATGAAATGAGTTAGTTAGGGTAGCACCCCACTCCGAGGAAGCGTTGTGACAGACAGTCCAGTCCCTGCCCCTTCACCCAGCTCCACCGACCTCTGCCTCCATGTCACATCGCACCTCTGCACCGATTTCACCCCGGCTGTGCCCTGCCCTTTATCCTCAATCCGCCTTTGAGACTGGAGTTGGTTTTCTATCTGAAATAGGTCTTCCCAGTGTTTCCTGGCCACCCACGCCACGCTTGCTTGTCACCTTTTAAATAATTTAACTTATTTATTTGTTTCGTTGTTTATGATATGTTAGGTGAGAGTTTATGGGATGTGTGTGTGAGAGGGTGTGTGCACCCAGTGTCCTCCTCAATCCCTTCCTCCCTTAGTTCCTTGAGGTCTCTCTCTGAACCTAGAGACAGGCTGGTCTCCAGCAAGTCCCAGTCCCCCACCCTCCAGTGCACAGCACGTGTTACAGGCACGTGGGCAGCCATGCCCTGCTTTTTACGTAGGTACTGGAGGTTTGAACTCAGACCCGCTTAGCCACCGAGCCATCACCTTAAGACACGCGCCACGCTTACCACACCACTCTTACCACATCTTTGCCACGTGTCAGAGAAAACTAGCTGCCTCTCTGCAGAATCCCACAGCACTTTGTAGATTGCTGTACGTGGCTCATCGTATTGCTTGAGGGCCCTGTGTCCTCGTGACCACTTTGCTAGCTGGCTGCTGCACACTTAGAGGACAGCAATAATTCTATTCCTAGTTCATCTCCAGGACCTGGAACAAAAGAGGGGAAGTGGCAGCAGCAGCAAATGATGTTCCTCTTCCTCCAGGGGGGTCCTGGGCAGCTCCCTGGGGCCAGAAGTAAGGGACAAGTTGAATGACAGGACTATTCTCCCTTCTCCAGTGGGGCTCAGCTCATCTCCACTACCTCCAGTGGGGAAAAGATGGTTCCCACAGTAGTTTGGCTTGTATGTTTGCTCTGAAGGACATCAATAATGGGGAAATAGAGTTGTCATTTATGACCTGGAGAACTGGGAAATTTGTTTAATTCTCTTTAAGACAGTGGTCAACAGCGACCCCTTTGGGAATCGAATGACCCTTTCACAGGGTTTGCCTGAGACTATCTGAAAACAAAGACATTTACATTATGATTCATTACAGAAGCAAAATACAGTTATAAAGTAGCATGACAAATAATTTGAGGAACATAATAACATGAGGAACATAAAGGTCACAGCATTAGGAAGGTTGAGAACCACTGTTCTCAGGGAAAATGTCCTCACTATACAAATAAATAAACAATACATACCTCATGTTGCCATGAAGACCAATAAACGCTAATTACTAAATTTACTGGAGAGTCAGGGACTCTGCCAACATCACCCCATGGCAAGTGACAGGTAATCAAAACTTGAACCTGTTCAGCAAATGAAAAGGACATTGAAAATGGCCAAAGACCACACAAATACCAGCTTACACTATTTATTTAAGGTACATTTATACCTCAGAACCTTTGGATTTTTATGACTAAAGCTGGAAAATTCTTTTTCTGGACCAGTGTAAGAAGCTGCTTCAGGAAGTACAAAGATGAAGGGGTAGAAAAAAATCTGGTTCATTATCTACCAACAAACTGGGCCTCACCCTCCACAGGCTCAGTTGGTTCTGAGAAATGGCTGCCCGAACAGCCGCAGAGTGACTGCATTTCCTGGTAGTATGCAGGAGGGCTTCTGCAACATGTTCTCCTGGGAGCTGGGAGCAGAAATAAGTCACTTGCAGGCCCAGATGGTTAAGGAGAGGGTGTGTCCAGCGGAAAGGCAGGAGTAACCCGGGTGCCTATCAATCGCCGAACGGATAAGCAACGATGGTGAACACACAGCACAACACAGACAAGCCTGGGAGTCACTGTGCTAAGTGAAGTGGGCTGGCAACAGAGGGCAGAAGCTGCCGCGTGGTTTGTGAAGGAGGCAGAGCTGCCAAATTCATAAGGACAGAAAGCTGAAGGGTGGTCGCCAGGCTGTGGAAGGGAGAGTGGGGTTCTAAGTGTTTAACGGGTACAGTTCTAGTTAGAGACGTAAAACAATGTCCCTGAACTGCACACTAAAGATGTTGAGGCGGTAAGTGCTGTGTATATTTTGTATTCATTGTAGAATAATTAGAAGATACTGTGATCTCTCCACACCTGCCAATTAGCTGCAGAGAAGGTAGGCTGTAGGATGGAGGAGCTATATTATGGAAGCAGCAGGGACAAAAGCCCTTTGCTGACTATCGATGTTGTAATGTGATCTGAATGGTAAGTAGTCCTCTGACATTGGCGTTGAGCATCAGCTTGTTATAGCATCTAGAGACACCTAACACAGCCTGACTTCTCAGCCTGTTACAGCTGACCTCACAGCACGGTGACAGTGCAAGGCCAGTTCCCTAATAAAGAGTTTCGAATAGTTTCAAAGCTGGCTTGGTCTGGGACTGCAGGGACATCTGTGCTGAAGGCCCACCCCCAAGTTCAGTAATTCTCAGGAGTGAGTCACCAGCCACTGGCTGGGATGCAGATCCCAGAGAGTTTGTTTCTAAGGAAACCCAGAGGAGTTTGTCTCTTAGGAGACAGAAATTGCACACAGATTTTAAAAGGTGCCAAGCTCTGGCAATGTTCATAAGGGACAGCCATGCAGCTAAAGACAACAAGAGCTGTATTAAAGTAAAGATTGGGACAATTGTTTCTGTGCAGATTTCCATCGGGAATTTAATGTTGCTAAGTGGGCGAGCACCTCCCTGTCTTCCATTGTCGTTTCACATCTCCACATTCCCCTACGGCAGGCATCCTCACTGTGGGCCCTCTCATTAGCTTGCCTCTGGCACTTTGTGACATGCCAATAGGCTCAAATGACCTTCAGAGATGCTAAATAGAAAGTAGGATGCATGTTCCATTGTTATACCCAGTCTGTTGGACTGTCTCAGTTCTCCATCTTTCCACGGGAGATATCTCTCCTACCCTAGGCTAAGACTTGTCTTTTCTTTCAGTGAGGCCAAGTGCAGACAGAAGCACCCTACCTACCTTTCAAGAAAGGCATTTTGGCTTCCCTGGCATTTTTTCATGTTCTCTTGTGCAACCTCAACCTGGGCCTTGCACAAAAACCAGCTGATAAATGTGCAATCCCAGCCTTTGAAATAGTCCCACTGCCACTTCCAGGGACCTAGTCCAAGGGCCAATGCTGAAAAACTGCTCCACCCACCTGCTCGATCTGTGCAAGGCCCGGATAAAGCTGGAAGCCCTTAGGAAAGGGGATCTGGCGCTCATCATGTGGAGGCTGACTCAGAGCTGCTGAGCCAGATTCCCAGTTCACACATGACACATGCTGTTCCCTCCACTTGTTTGCCCAGATGACATGCCTTGGTCCCTCTTAACCTCAGTGCCCAACTTTGTGATTCCCACTCACGAAGCCACGTGAATATTTCCCCATTCTCTCCAGCACAAGAGTGAGTTGCTGGCTATGGTGGCCTAAGTCCATCCAGAGACCTGTCTCTTCAGTCCCTCTGTCTTCTTTCCATCACTGAAAACTACCAAGGTAATCCTGACAGTGGGACCTGGGCAATGCTACAGGAGGTCCACAAAGGATGGCTGTAAGGGGCTGGGGCTCACCATACATCAAACAATAGAACAGAGAGGCCATAGCTCAGGTCTGCTCACTGCAAAGTCTCAGGCCACCAAGGCATCTGTACATCCCCAGGAGGGGCTGGTGGCTGACAGTCTCAGAAAGCATCTCCTCTGACTTGGAGTCTGCTCCTTCTGGGACCCTTCGGTTTGAGCCGTTTTGCTATCCTGGGTGTGGTGCTCCAGGTCTGCACCCAGATGGGAAATCTGGTCCACCAAAACTAAACCAAGACTTTTGTACAGGCAGCACCCTTGCCAGGACTGCCTAGGCCAAGAGAGTTCACATGGGTGCAAAGTTCCCATGTAAGTTTTGGGTTTTAAGGATCCTTTTTAAGGGCACCCTACCTCTGGAGGATTTCCAGGGGCTGGACCATTCCATGCTGCTAACTCAGCTCATGCTTCTCTACAGCATCTTTCAGAAATTCCCTGCACCAGAATCCATGCTGTAAAACAGGAGTCTGCTGAGGGAGTGTGTGATATAAGAGAATTGGGGGGACATTTTGCTTTGCTCATTTATATTCAATTTGCAGACACCTAATGCTAAGAGGACCTTCATCTTTAGAGTAAATGTTGGGTGCATACACACTCACTAGAACAGACTCCTCAAAATCCAAAGGGCTTAAAGAAATAATGAATGACGTCTAGCTCAGGGATGGTCAATGTGTTTTATCTGCATAGCTTTTAAGGGTCTTGAGCCACTCCCAGAATCCTGCTAGTAATGGCTAAGAATGTTTATATGCAGTTTGAATAGCTGTCGAAGGTTAAATTCCAAAGAACTGGGGAAGTGGCGGTAAAACACTTCAGGAAGGGAGGGGAGGGGAGCTAAACATTTTTTAAAACCTGTAAACCACCCATTTGAGTATATCTCAATAAAATTTAAATGTCATAGTAATTTGATATTGTCCATTATAAAAAAAATCGTGAATGGGGTTCTCTAACAATTAGACATTTTAATTATCCTCTTTTCCTCTTTCAGGATCTAATTTCATTCCTCTTTCTTTCTAGAACTTGAACCTGATATAATATACAACATGGTCAGGTCTGCCAGGGCCTCTAGGGGCCCCTGGAATCCTCAGAAGGGTCTGTGAACTCAAAGCTGCTTTGCTAAGATACAGCAGTTTTGTTTGTCATTTTAGACCCATTCTCTCCCAAGTGAACCCGCGAGTTTCCCAGAAGCTGCAGGGTGTTTGGCATCACAGCGGAGCCAGGCCAGGCAGCCATGAGCCCCGCTGGCTCCTGCCAGACAAGGCCCCTCTCCTCCATGAGTTCTGCCTGATATTTGTTTTGGAAAATAGGGAGGGGTGTGTGTGTGTTTTGTTTTTTTCATAGACATGTCACTTATATTAGTGTATGTGAGTTTACTATCTTTTAAATTAATTTTAACTACTAATATGGTAAATATCAACCAGCTTGACTTACCGAAACAAGTTATTTGAGGTTTTCACTCATATTTAAGAATGTAAAGTAGTGCTGAGGCAAAAGGCATGAAGGACTGGTGCCCTTCCATATTAAGGAGGAGTGGAGTCACTGGTCCCATGGAATTCAGCAAGTTTTCCTCCAGCTGCTAATGCCACAGTGGCCTCTCACAAAGCCTTCTGAGAGGGCGCCCTCTGACCCTGTCTCTTTTCCCTGGGGTTTCCAGGCCTGCCAGGATTCCAATCCCAGCAGCACCCTCTAATAAGGAGGCTTTTTAGAAGCCAAGTGAGGGAGGTTTCAAGTCAAAGCACTTATGAAGAGCCAGGATCCTGCTCCTCCTACCCTCTCGGTGGAAGGCTAACTGATGGCTGGGGTCCTAAAAAGAGAGACTGCAACGAATGAGTCTTATTTGGATGAAGTTAATGTTAGACCCTCCTAAAAACGCATAACCGTTTCTCCTTAATGCTCCCTGGGTCCTCCCTTGTGTCCCTCCCCCGCCTTGAGTTTACCTCCCCATCGATCAGCCGGAGCAGGTGTTGGCACACTCTCATCCTTTACAGCCTAAAAAGCTCCTAGAGGCTTGTTGGGGCCCTGGCTCTGGACAGCTGAGAAGAATGAGTTGCCAGACTGTCCGGCAGGCCTCTCAAACAGGAAGAGGTGGAGCTGCGGTCTACCCCGCTACTCCGAAGAGTGCGCTCAGGCAAAACTATGGATAGCTTATAATATTCCTATTCTGAAAATAAACACACGCACCCGGGAGTGACTGAGTTCGCAGGAAATACGCTGGCTGTGTGCATAACAGCCTCGGAGGATAAAACCTCCCGGCTTTCCAGAAACATGCTCACTTCAGAGCTTTGCCAAGGAAACCATGGCCGGGATGTAGCTCGCTCCATGCCCCATCCCTCCCCACAAATCTCCTGCTTCCGGAGCTTCCGCTGGCTGGAACTTGCTGTTCTCCTGGGAAGGGAGCCAGGGCCCTCCTATTTCCCCAGAGCTTTTCTTCTCTTTCTAAATGGAGTCCTTCAAAACCGGATGTTCCACAGAGCTCACAGGGACTCCTTGCCTAGGGGCCCTCATCCCGAAACACAGTCCCCTCCCCTGTTCTGGACTGCAAGCATGACTGTAACCCAACCCAATCTCCTCTTTGGTGGGCACTGGCCCCAAGCCAGAGGGCAGATGCCAGGGAAACTTCTCTTGGCAGCAGGGCTTTCATAGACCTTTCGGCTACCTCCTCCTGCAGCTCTCCAGGCTCCCCGTCCAGCCTTGCTGTCTTGGAATCCTGGGGCAGGTTGAAGCAGCCCATCTAGGAAGTCCTTGCTCAGAGAGGGTGGATTAAGTCACAGATCACAGAGTGACAGAAAACAGCCAAAGGATTGCCAGACACCCTTCTTTCATTTCACAGCTCACTCATGTTTCATGTGTCCCCTTTCTACTCAATAAGGTGTCTCCTCTCCAGTAGCCACTGTAGACAGCTGCTAAGGCTTCAGCAACAAATACAACCTGCAAAAAGATTCCCTGTGGACCAAACACACTGATGGATGTTAGGAATTTTAAACAAGGAAGTCACTGAGAGCAAAGAACAATCCTGAGGCTGCTTCCTCAAGAAGGATGCTATACTTTGACCCTGTCACAATCAAGGGGTATCCAGGCTTCAAGGCATGAAGCCCAAATGTAGAAACCAAGGGGACAGAAAAAAACAAAAACAAAAACAAAAAACAAAAAACAACTACCAAGAGTGAAAATGTGTGTGTGTGTGTGTGTGTGTGTGTGTGTGTGTGTGTGTTAGGTGTACATGCCACAACACAAGTTTGAAGGTCAGGGAACAACCTTTGAGAGTCAGCTTTCTTCCACAATGGGTTCCAGAGAGCAAACGCAAGTCATCAGGTTTCCACACAAGTGCTTTCACCCACTGAGCCATGTCAGCAGCCACACACACATTTATTCATGTAACACTGAGTTCAGCCACACACCAGACCTCACATAGGATGCTGTCTTGAGGGAGCAGCAGGCAGCACCTTGCCCAGCATAAACCTGAGAAGAGCTGTCACAGATGGCCCAGAGAGCCAAGAGTTGGCAGTCAGGCCCAGGTGAGCCCACCCCCTCTCCTCCCACCCCCCCTCCACCCTTTCTCATCTGCCTTTGGCTCCTTCAGGGGTGGTCGCACAGTGCTGGGCACTGCCTTCTCCAGAATCAGGGCTTAGTTATGAAGAGACGGTGAGTGCATATGAGATGAATAAAGAGAACTTTCCAAGGCTGGCAGCCTGGGAGGAGCTGGGGAGGTTGCAAGCAGAGCTACTGGCCCTTCAAAGACAGAGAAGCCGAGAGGGCCAGCAACAAGTACCTGCTGGGAGTCCCAGTGTGGGGGCGGGTGGTGTCTCATTGGTGGTTAAACGGCACTAGAGGTACAGAGGGTACAGAGCCAGGAGGTTGTGCCAAAGGAAGCTTGGACTTTATCCTGGAGTAGCACGCAGGAACTATGAATCAGACAGACCTGGGAAGCACAAGAATTCTTGCAAGCTCAAACACACACACACACACACACACACACACACACACACCTATAAAACAAATTCAAAACCTACAATCATTCTCATTTCACTGGATGTAAACTATACTCCTGGGCATTTACTTTTCTGAGGTATCTGAAGATTTCCAGGTGTCTCCCAGCTTCGTAAGGCACTCAAACAGGAACCCTCAGCACACCATCCTACCCTCTAAAGCTCCGCTGAGTTCCTGCTTGTGTCTTTTCTGGTGCATCCTGGCTGGCCTTCTTCTAACATCCTGCATCAGCCGTGTCCTCTGTGGTCCTATGCTGACTCTGCCTAAAGTGGGTGACAAGGACGAGCTCCGGTTGCTCAGCCCTCTTCAGGGAAAGCCTGGCATTCCTTCCCCACCCACTCCTGATGAGCACTCGCCATTCACAAGGGCTGTGACAGAGGATGAGGGTAACAGGCTGTCAGGGCATTGCCTGGCCGGAGATGAGTGACGAGGGAAGGAACACCAGCTAACCCTGTACCACCGCCACGGGTGTGCGTGGCGCGCCACCCTAGAGATAGCCACACAATCTTTTCAAAGAATCCCATCCCTGTGACTGAACTTCCACCATCCCTGAGAGCTAGAGTGCTGAAAAGCTAACTGTGCTTAAGGTCCAGGACCCTGGAAGACTCTAGAAAAGGAGTCATAGTAACGCGCATGGTAGATAAGCAACGTGTTAGTCCAGCTGAGCCGCCATAAGCAACTACCATAGACAGGATAGTGCAAACAGCCCACAGGTATTTTTCACAATTCAAGAGGATGGTAATGCACAGATCTAAGGCTGGAAGACTTGGTTTCTAATTAGCACGCAAGGTTAATACTGATGGTCAGCTTGACAGGAACTAGACTCACTCAAGAGATGGCCCCTGGGTATGTCTGTGAAGGTTCGTTTGTTGTTGTTGTTGTTGTTGTTGGTTTTTAAGTCCAGCTTTTATTTCCAGCATTCCTGTGAAGGGTTATTTGGGGCAGAATAACTGACAGAGCAAGACCCATCCTAAATCTGGGTGGTGCCGTTTCCTGGGCTGGGGGCTGGGCCTGCAAAAGAGGAGAAAACTAGCTCAGCTGCATTGTCCCTTGACAGCTGAAGAATATGGCCGGTGCCTCAGGCTTCTCCCTTCCCCGATATGATGGGCTGTGCCCTGGAGCCATGAACCAAATAAAACCCTTCCTTCTTTAGGTGGCTTCTGTCAGAATCTTTTGTCTCTGCAGCAGGACAAGTCACTGCTAAAACAAAGCACTCTCCTGTCTCACAGATGGCCACTTTCTCCCTGTGAGCTCACACTATGGAGAGACAGCCTGCCTCCCTCTCGCTCTTCGCTCTTCGGATGCCGTCATGGGGGTCCTGTTCTCATGGCCTCGCCTAATCCCAATCACATTCAAAGATCCCAGTTTCCAAATGTCATTAATATTAGGGGTCAGGGCTTGCACACACAGGTTTAAGGGTAGCACAATTCAGTCCACAGCATTGTGCACACATATTACAACTCTCCCATGGAAAATATATGCATATACATAACATAGACACATACAGAGAGAGAAAGTGGGTACCACTCTATTGCCACTTTCTGCCCCCATCATCACACCCCCCAGATAGGGCAGTCCTGAAGTGACAACAGGCATTTGGGGGATCCGACTGAGAAGCTGCATTAATACATATTAGATAGGAGCTTGCGGTCACTCCTGTGGCAGGTCAGTAGCTACTTGCCATGCTGGGATGGGAAGGGCACGAGAGCCCACTCTGCCAGCTCCCCGCTAGGTCCTGCCCAGCAGACACAGAGGAGATACGACAGAGGAATGTGGACCAGGCACCCGGCACTGAAACTAGTCCAGTAGAGGATTAAGATGAAAGAAGCCAAAGCATTTTTATGAAAAAAAAAAAATTCTAAGTCTTATAGCTCAGATATGAAAGGAACCTTTATAAAAGAGTCTAGGCTTAGCTACAGTCCTCAGGACAGAGGACACTGCTAACAGTGAGTCGTGAGGCCACAAGGAGCTTCACTATCAGAAAAGCATACATCAGAGGGAGGCCACGGTTCTCTCAAAGAAATGAAGCCAGACAGCTGGCACGTGGGGAGAGTGTGTGTGACCTGAAGTCATAAAGAGACTGTTAGGAAGGTGATGGACGACAAACTGGTTTAAATATCAGTATTTTCCAGGCTCCTGTTTTTATGGTATTCTTCATAAAACATAGCTGCTCATGATTTCTTTTGAAATTTTAAATATAATTTTTTTCTTCCACCTGTCCCCTTTCACCTGCCCAGGGACCTTCCCTGATGGCCCCAGGTCAGTGTCATGGACGGTCTGGGAATCAGAGCATGGGTGCTGCATGGAATGTTAGCACTTAGGAACGTCCCTCTGATTTCACAGAAGATGAAACAGACCCGGAGAAGGGGAGAAACTTGTACAAGGTCACACAGCAAGCTGATGTCAGAACTTGAACACAGGACTCTGGCTCTTAGTCCAGTGCTCTTTATGTAATTATACCTGCATTTTTTTCTTATAAGTAACCAAACTGAGATATATATATATCTATATCTATATCTATATCTATATCTATATATATATATATATATATATATATATATATATATATATATATATATATCAGGCAAACTTTGACCATAGTTCTCTGACATGAATGCCTTGGGACTACAAGGCTCCACACTTATGAGCCACAGGGGATTCAGAATTGCCTGTTGTTTAAAGGTAGATCTTTAGGCCCAACTGGAGAGAGAGTGAATCATTAGAACTAAGACCTTAGATTAGAAATCTCTGGGTTTAGGGACTTCTCCCAGAAAAGCCGGGGCAGAGTACGAATGAGCTGGATTCTACCCCATCTGTCCTCTTAACCCTTCCCCTCCAGCTACAGTGCACAAAAGAACACAGAGCAGCTCATCTGCCGACTTCTTATTGTCCTATCTCCTAGCATACACACTCTCTACTGCAGGGCCCTATGTTTGAGCCCAGCCTGACCCACATTTACTTGCAAACTGCTGTTAATGGGAAATATGGGGTGAGCTCCA